CAGCAGGATAATAACAATGTTGGTGAGAAGAAAGATGCATTTTGAAATGTCATTGTATAGCATTTTATGAAGGGAATTTTCTTCAGACTGAGAAATGGGTCCCCACATCAGAATCATGTTATCTCTCTGAGTTGTCAGAAGCAGAAAAGGCTGCCACTATATTAAACAAAGCTCTCTTCAGCAATTGGCTAAAAAGGTCTTTTTGTCAGGTGTCTCATTTGGACACTGTGACCTTTCTGACTTCTAATCTACATTACTGAATCTTTCTCTGATTGTAAGTAAGCTTGACAGAGCTTGATAAACTAACAATACAGCGGACTTCAATATGAAGAAGCATTTGAGCTTTTTCATAACTTTCAGTCTACATAAATATAGTAATGCTTGATTTTACTTTTCTCCCTCTGAAGTTATGGTGAATAGAACTTTGATCAGTCAAACAAGACATATTTATACCTTCCTAGCTTTGTGAGAGGCAGTTGCTTTAAAAAAATGTAACAGATTTCCTTTTATCCCTCTCCATCTGATCTTTGAAATAACTTTTCAAAAGTAGCTTTCAGAACACCAGGCTAAAGTTACTTATTTCGAAGTACTTGCTATACCCCATAATATAGAAATAAACTTGATTACCCATACACTGGCAAGAGGTTATTTATTTTATAGCTTCTGTGACTGGTTTTGATGTTTTCTTCTCTGCATGTGTGTGTACTTCAGGAGAAGAATACACACACGCTCTGTAAGGTATTTTAAATCATTGCAGTAGAAATGGGTTTTTTATAATGAGTGTCCTGCATATGTGACATAAAATATACAATGTCTCCTCTCACCTGGATAACTGAACTGTAAGCTGTTGAGGGCAGCAGGCAAAGAATCCACATGAAGAATTGTAGTTCAAGCCAGCCTCCCTTTTTTTACTCACACACGCATTTATTTTTGCAGCCTGTATACTTACATGTACAATGCAAAATACAGAGACTAATAAATTCTGGAAGGAGACGAGATTATGAAGACAAATATGTCAGGCAGAGGGAGCTACAATTTCATCTAAATGAAGACTGGAGAGACAAAAAAGCTTTTTTGTTTTAATGTGCGATCTTAATACTGCTCCTGTGTTACGATTTGTGTAACTACCATCTCATTTTTCTCTATGTCTCAATATGATTTTGCTGAAATGCAGTGCCGATGTAGGTTGTTTCCCTTGACTCCACATCACTTGATGGGCCTAATTTCTTTTAACAGTATTGTAATGAAATATCTATCCTTAAGCTTCCATCAGTATTCATTTAGTTTTGGTAGCACAATAAGAATTAATACAAGGGACTTCATTTAGCACCCGATTCTATCCACATATACTATAATTTTCTCTTAATACCTCATAATGAAATTTTGATTCTGTCTGGCAAGGAAAATAAAATAGAAAAAAGTCAGCATACAATTGATTTATGTGAAGTCCAAAATCACACTGGAAATTAGACTATATTCTTATCTTTACTTTCTCTTCATGCAGATTGGACAAAAGATAGTCATTAACAGCCTGATTTTGCTTAAACTCAATGCCAAAGTAATTACCAAGCTGTTCACTTCACCAATGAAGGAACAGGGACAGTAGGTCAAATGTCAGAGATCAGAGGATCAAGTTTTAAGCCCATAAAAGAGAAATCTTTATGAACAGTGGGAAAACTTGCACCAGACCTTAGAAAAGCCCAATGTTAATCACATTGATATCAATCACATTGTTGCCTGACCAGTAAAACTAGTGCTATATGATTTTTGAAGAGTTTGAGTTATTAAAGGAAAAGAAATTGCCCAGAATAAATTAAGTAGATGCTCGGACCAACTTCATAGTCCCAGGTATTGAAAGTAACAGTCCAGTACAGGATTTCCTGGACTTCAGGAGAATTTTATGCAACTCTGGAAATCCAAAGATGTCATTCAGCAAACATGTCTATTGTGAAATGCAGGGAGATGCACAATGAGACTGAAACTCAAAGATACCAGGTACCCTGAAAGGAGGTCGTACCAGATGACCTCCAGAGGTCTTGACCAACTAGTTATCACCTTAACTACGTCAATATATATGACTCCAAATGTACAATTCAATTTCAATATATTCTGTCCAAGCCATTTGTACCTATATTTAAACATTTTTTTTCTGTTTATACCAAGTGTTTTAGTTAAAGCAAACATTTACCATTTTTTAACACAGTTGTGTGAATATAATAATAGCAGAAAATGTTCTAGATTTATTGTTAAATTTTTATCCAAGACCACATAATTCTTCCTGCAGAATATGAACTGTCTCTACACCAGTGCATGTGTGGCATGTAAGACAACCCCAGGTATCAGCTGATAACTACCTCTTTCACCAAGATATGCATTCAGTGTACATCCTTCAGCTGAATCAAGCATTATTATAAAAGTCAATGGCTCCTCACAAGCTTTTCTTAGTAAGGATTTTTACTTTGGAGTTTATTCATGTCGTGGTCTGACTTAGGCTGTAGTAACCTAAGTATGCTATAAAACATAATTTTCTTCATAGGGTTTAGTGAATAATGAAAAAAAACGTATCTGCAAGCATGATTGTGGGATAAGATGCTTTTCTATACTTTTCTGTTCTGCAGTCTTCTTGCCATGGTAATGCTATTAACAATTCTGGCTGTCAAGGTCAATACATCACTGTATCAATCATATATTAATATTAATATTATGCTTCTTACCTATCTAATTGTCATGGCAGTGAAGGAGACGATTTACATTTGAGGTTGTGGAAAAAAATTTGGGTTTGAAGTAAATTTTAACTTTCAGTTTTGTCTCCACTTCCACATAACTGTGCAATCATGTGTGATCATAATCTACCACTATCTGTAGCTGAATGCTTCCCTAACCAGGAGTGCCACCTAAGAGCATATATGAGAATGTCAGGTAAAAAAACAAACGCTCTGTTTGATTTCAATCATACTTCGCCATACTTGAATTAGGTAGATCAGCGGATCAGTCACAAAATACTGCTTTCCAATCTTTTTAAATCTTAAAGCACCTTTTAAAACAGCTTTTCATTATATATGAAATTATTATACAATATGACATAAAGAAGAAAATGCCAGTGATCACAATGATATGATTCCATTTTCCAATGGACTCCAACTTGCTTCAACAGACTGCTAGAGAAAGGATATGCTTGTAGGATATAATTATCTGCAACAAGAAGTCTCTGCGGATTACAGTGGTCAGAATTCACACTTATGGAGCTGCTGCTGCATTGCTAGAAATGTAATAGACTGAAGAGAAATTAAATGTCTGCTTTCTTAATTCTTTTTCATTCCCACAATCAACTAAAGCAACAGCAGACATGTTTGAACAGTAGTGGAGTGCAACGATGTGTAGAAAGGGATAGACGCAAGTTATATATTAACTTTATGCAAAATTAAGAAGTGTTAAACATGTTTAAAATTGGGTTTACTTATTTTAAATGCCTTAACTAAGCTGCATAGAAATGGATGGATACAAGTTACACATTAACTTTATGCAAAACAAGGAACTCTTCAACATGTTTAATATAATTTCTTGCTCATTTCCAATGTCTTAATTAAGCCAGTAACTTCAGTGGAAAAGTAATCACCCAGTGCTTACGGTCCTTTAAATGTTCACATGCCACACTGAGCCTTTAATTCTTCCCTGAAGTTTTCATGAGAGACCGCTGAGAATAAGATAACGTGAGCATGAAGAAAACCAAGATGTAGAACTGGTACATATACTCTATATTGTATTTGTATTGCAGTTTACCTGGGATGAAAATGTACAGACCAGGAAGTCTGCCTGTGACAGGAAGTGAATATCCAGAATAACACCTCTTAGGGAATTTTCAGTGTAACGGTTATGAAGTCCTGCTGACCAGGATATGGAGTTATCGCTGATGAATTCATAATTTGGATACCTGTGAAAACACAAATCATGTTAACAGCAAAGTCTTTTATTTTTTTAATTTCATTTTTTCTTAGGAAGCATCATCTTTGCTGCAAGATAAGGGAGTTAATTTATTTTGCATCTCTGCTTTACAGGGAATGCATTATAATTTTGCTGAAAACTCTAGAATGTTACTGCTGCCTCTAAGCATGCCCTCTGTATCCAGAAATAAATAAATAAAGACACTAAGTCTGTCTGAGATCTGACACTGTAAAAGACGTGAAATAAATGTCAGGCAGTATACGCTATATTCCTCTAATTCTACTGTTTTTTAATGAAATATAACCAGATCACTTCATTTCTCTACTACTAAACAGAATATGGGATTATGTTTCTACTCGACTACATTTTATTTATTACCACACTCTCTGTTAGATAATGATCATGACACTGTGCAAGAAAAATCACTCACCTGTAAAAGAGACATGATAAATAAACAAATCTAAACTAACAACAAAAGTATCTTCATAGTTATTAGGAGAAAAAAAATCTGCAATTTGCTAGACAAAAAGAGAGAAATGTAAGATTTCATGTCAGTCCACCTTTCTTGACATATCACAAACAAAATAATGATACTTTAAGTCAAAATATTTTTATTTGAAATATAAACCCTTGGTCTGTTACTTTCAAAATAAAACAAGTTTTTATCAGTTAACAATGACTTTGAATGAAAAAAAACCCCATAAATAATATAGGTATGATAAATTTCCCAGAGATAAGATGACAACTTTAAAGGGTGCATCTGATCATTAATGTCAAGGGTAGTTCATGTTACATTAAAAGCAAGGCAAAATAAAACAAAAAGAAGGAAGAGAAGGTGGAAATATTATTCATCTGGAGTAACTGATTTGACCTCTTTTGGGAAATTCTAGAAGCATTTGGATCAAGAAATAGGGTTGGTTTTTTTCAAAATTAACTCTATCACAATGATAATTTTCTTTCTTCTCATGCCTAAAATTAACGTCAATATTTAACCAGCTCTCAAAATACAACAGATGACAACACAATATGTGTGATACATTCTATTTCTGTATCCATTGTTTGAATCATATTGGGCTTGTGTTTTTTTTTAAAGGGAAAAAAAAGTGCAGGCCAAATGGAAATATAGACTCATAGAATGGTTTCAGTTGGAAAAGACCTTAAGATCATCTAGTTCCAACCCCCTGCCATGGGCAGGGATATGTCATACTCTACTGTGAAAACCAGCTGAGGAAGAGAGAGGGGCATCAGCGACACAACTCTAAGGGGAGCAACACAAAAAATGTTTAACAGAAGATGTCATTTCTAGGACAGTGAATACAGTAAAGATATCTGCACTCCCCTTGGCAAGTTCTTGGCATCAGGAATGCTGCTAAAAATAATCGCTTCAGATTTTGAAAATCAGAATCCACATGCTGAGTAGAGAGAAAAGAACCTTTCTTGAAGAATCTGACTTCCTACTAGCAAAAGATCAGTCTAATAACTTGACAAATGAAGCACACCAAAAAGCGTGTCATATTGAATCTGTTAAAAAAACAGAACACAAAACAAAACAGAAAACCCCCAAACCCAAACAATTTTTCACACATTTCCTTAAGCACACATATAAATTTTTCTCCTTCCTCCCTTTATTCTGCAAACAGTCTTTGAGATGCTTTTAAATCTGGTCTTCAATTCCATTTTGTAAAGTTGATCCTAATTCACTTAGCCAACAGTTTCAGAACCCATTTCCTCAAAGCTGAGATCCAAGCTTAGCATTTATTTACTCACATGTTTTAAGTTTTCAAATAAGCACTTTTATGATGTGCCACTGTTGCGGCACAACTGTTACAGCTGAAACTAGGTCAGCTGCACACACATATAGCACATAGCGCTATATTCATGCTTAGCAAAAGAGGTTTCTTTTAAACACCCTAAAATGGGAGTATAATAGCAACCATACTCAGTGTGACCAAAGAATCTTCTAGTCCACCATCCTGTCTCCAACACAGGCTGAAAGAAGAGCATAAAGAAAAATACAGTAAAAGGCCAAGCCGATACACCTCTCAAGCTTAGCCTCATGTGGCCCACTGACTTCCCGCATCAGGTGAGGTTTAATTCTCCTTCCCACTCACCACAGTGTCTCAGATTCTATTTAAAGCTATTCTTGCCACAGTGACTACAAAGAATAATGGAAATGAAACTTCTAAAGCTCTATAGTTAGCTCTTCCTTTCTTCTATTCCCTTTTCTGTCTGTATTTATATTATGATTAATGTAATACATATGTTGTAAGCTTATGGAGATTTTTTTTTTTAAGCAGATCCTATTACTAGGATTCCTGAATGCATGGTAAATGAGTAATAAATACTAAAATGTCATATTCTTACTGACAGCATTGCCTAAACACAGTAGGATCCCTTCTAGCTTTCCAAAGAAATTACCCACACACTCTCTTCTCTATACAGGAAAGGAACAGACTGTGAAGATCAAACCAAACACCATAATGCTGTTTTCTTTGTATCAGACTACACATATATATATATAGCATATCTCCTCAACATATCTTAAAAAAAATAAATACATGAAAAAAACCCCTAATTCTTCTAAAGCCACCAAAAATATTCTTGAAACTTTTATTCAGGCTAGAAAGGATTTTCTTTCTTTTTTCTCTCAGGAAAAAGGAAAAAGAAGAAATCAGAACAAGGAGGGAAGAGAGTCTAAAATCTTTCCATCCTGCAACTACCAGCCTCAGAGAAGGACACAAACCAAGCACAGTTATGCGTCTATTTCAAGTTCCAACTGGTTTCAGAAGCTGATCAACTACTTGTGTAACTATAGCTTCTCTCTACACTGTTTAGCAGATACAAACCAAGGCAAGTCCCAGGCTCCAGTTCTCAATTTGCTACAACTGGGAAAGTGTCCAGAACAGGCAATGCAAGTTTTCTTCCCTCTAAAAGAAGAGTGTGAGCATGTGTGTAAACAGATGGAGTAAGAAATAATGTGTTTGTTCAGGTCCTGCTCTAAAAAGAATTGGAAAATGTATATACTGTTCACGAGGTTCAAGAACTTTGAAGCCTTACTGAATTGTATGTAACAAGCATACTATGATGCAGGGGCAGGGAGAGTTACAACAGCTAAAATACAGATAGCACACAGAAAGAAAAGACATTAACTTGCTATTGTGGAAGTAAATAGTGAAATACTGAGGGGAAAAAAGCTTTCATAAGTGCTAGGGGAAAAAACCCTCATAAGGGAGGCAAATTGCTACCAAAAAAAAAAAAAAAAGGCAGCAAAGTACATATAACTTCACAGGTAAATATTCTAAAAGGAAGAATGTAACTTGCTGAATTTGAATTTGCTCATATACATGACAGAGACCTAAACAGATTCATACATAAAGCAGAAAGGTATCAAATATGGCTTCTTAAGAATCGGTGCACATGTTCAGCTGCATTATTTTCAATGCTCTGCTTTAAAGAGAGAAGATGCTGTATATGACATAGACTAGAAACACACATACTAGAAATTTAAAACTTTCTAATTAAAACCCATTAAATCAGCCAAATAACGAGCTACTTACACCATCCCTAACATACCGCTTATCTAAGACAAATACCACAACCTCTGCTTACCAAAAGTTGTCAAATGTTGGTTGATGAAAATCTCAACATGACCTGGCAGTGTGTGCTTGCAGCCCAGAAACCAACTGTGTCCTGGGCTGCACCTGCAGTCCTGTGTTCAGCTCTGGGGCCCCCAATGTAAGAGGGTTGTGAACCTGTTTGAGCAAGTCCAGAGATGGACAAGATGAAAAGAGGGCTGGAGCACCTCTCCTATGGAAACATGCTGAGTTGGGGGTTGTTCAGCCTGGAGAAGGCTCAGGGTAGACCTTATAACAGTCTTCCAGTACCTAAAGGGGGTCTGCAAGAAGTTTGGAGGGTGACAGGACAAGGGGGACTGGATTCAATCTGACACAGGGGAGATGTAGATTAGACATTAAGAAGAAATTCTTCCCCATGAGGGTGCTGAGGCGCTGGCACAGGGTGCCCAGAGAAGCTGTGGCTGCCCCATCCCTGGCAGTGTTCAAAGCCAGGTTGGACACAGGGGCTTGGAGCAACCTGCTCTAGTGGAAGGTGTCCCTGCCTGTGGCAGGGGGGTGGAACTGGATAAGTCCCTTCCAATCCAAACCATTCTATGATTCTATGAAGTGCTTTAATCCCATAGTTATTACAGCTGTTGAACTGTCAACCATGCTCCTCTCTAATCATCCTAATTCTGAAAATACATTCACTTCTTTCTTTCGGTAAAAAAGCCAAAAACACTCTACATATTGACAGTACTAACTCCACTACCATACTTGCAGTTGGTAGACATCTGACTGCAGGGGAAGTTTCTGAAACTTCAGTCAAAGCATTTCTGTTTTCATGACCATGAATAGTTTGAAACACTTCTCTTAATAGAAACATGCCTGTTCATGTGAATGTTGGCAAAATTTTCATTATTTAAATGCCAAGAGTGTTTGACAGCCAATCACTCTCATGTATAGAGAGATATAATATCGAGCTAGTACTTACTAATATTACTGCACCCAATAATGAATGTAACATAAGCTACTGTGGTACAATGTGACAGCCGTTTGTGTCGAAGCTTGGTAGTTCAATATGACTGGAACTTTTTCTGTCAGAACTGTAATCTAATTTGTATTTTTCTTCACAAGAAAAGGATTAAAAGGTTCTTTATGCTGAAAACCCAACCTTAACCTGTATTCAGGTGCCTTTAAGTGCTGAAACATCAAATTGCAGCCTGCCTTCTATGAAATCACAGGGAGTTAAAAATGCCTTTGACTCAATTGCAAGCAACAATAGGGTGCAAGGAACTGTATGTTTACATAGGTAGTGCATCTCATTATTATTCACAACACTAAAGTATACTGTGCTAAGGATTGAAAGCTGCACACAAAGAAAAAATGCCTAACTAAGATTGCTACAGCAATATTGAATTCTGTTATGTTAGAAACCGTAATTAATGTTATTTAAGGCAATGTAATGAATTAAATATTATAGCCTCAGTTTTTTATTACCTGTCTTTTCATTGTTCAGATTTGCACTTTAAGTGTTATGTTATCATAATTATTTCTGCTACTGTTCTTGTCTCTACATATACAAAAAAGGAAGGATTAGATTGCCATCATCTGGAGCTGTGTATGTTCATTTAGCTTTTTCAAAACTCTATAATTTTAAACAGCAACCCTTTATAGATATGAAAGAAAAATAGAAATAGCACAACTGAAACACACAGGCTTGCAATGCTGTAGAAAATTCCTCTACTACAAAATAGCATTTTCTGCCTACCTTATGCCAAAAACAATTTGTAATCCAGAATGTAATCTTACATATTTTTTTCCAAGCAAGTCTACAAAGATTAAAAGAGTTAAAAAATTTGCCACTTTGGAGTTACCTTCATTTTAGAATTTTAATTTCCTTGCTTAAAAGAGGAAAAAAAATAAAAAAATAAAAAAATCTGTTCAAGGGAGAAAAAATTTTGGAAACAGAAACAGGAGCTGTTCAGTAGACAAATAAATAGTACTCAAAAGGAAAAAATGCTAACTTGTACTTAGTAATGAATACACTTATATTCAATGCTTCCGAAATAGATATCCAAGTTTCCACACTGTCATGGCACTTAGCTTCTGTGAATTTGTTTCTATACCATAAACACCACAACCCAAGAAAGATACAGTTAAATATGGAACATTATTCTTGCATATGCACCTACTTTGTTTTACTAAACAGAAGGTTTTGCCATCTTAGTGGCACCTTGCAAGACATGCAACTTAACAGCAAGTTCTTACAGGGAAATCCAGGCCATGTTAGGAGTAAATAAATACACACTGTGTATTTACAGGTTTGAGCACAGTTATATATTCTGTGACAAGCTGGGATATCCTATACCTAGGGTAGGTTGTTAAACCCATGTTCTGGAGAGCTAGAAGAGGATAAGGAGCAAATAAGGGACAGAGACAGTGTTATAGATCAAGAATCCCACACATATTTGAGGACAAACGTTAAAATTATTCAACATGTAGGGTTAAAGTCTTCTAAGTTCACAATATAGAAATCTTTGAGTCATGAGAAGGTTGTCAATCAGCTTATAAAAATTTCTCTAGCAACCTGCTTTAGCAGAGGGGTTGGACTAGATGATCTTAAGGTCCTTTCCAACCCTAACTATTCTATGATTCTATGATCTCCACAGGTCCCAGCCCCAACCATGCTGTGATTCTGAACTATTCACAGAAAGGTATTGTTTAGACAGGTGACACATCTTAATATATTAACTACTTTTTACAAAATTTCTGAATAGTTTCTTTTTATGTTCTGTAGAAAGTTTGGTGCATTTATTCATGTTTGCCTTGTACAGCATTACAGGTTTATTCTTAAGTAGTCATAGGTATGTTGCTCAAGTCTTCTAGATCTTTAACATTAAGCTTTGAAAAGCATACGTGTGGAAAAAAATCATCCAAAATAAAAAGGAATATCTGAGGGAAAAGTCAAAATCACTGGAAGCTGAAATGCAATCTAATATACAAATTATAACCAAATTAAATAAATAGCTTAAAAAACCCAAGCAAAAAACCCCTAAGATTCGTGCACACAGTAGTCAGAAATTGTAAAGCTAGCCAGAAGGAACAAATCATAATACAAACATAGTTCATCTTACTTGGATTTTGCCTCTTGCAACAATGAAGGGTCATCTGTAGCCAAATACACTCTTTTTTTATCAACATGCATTCTGCGAGCAAGAAGTTCAAACCGTTCCTCAACATGTACCATATATTCTTCAATGGGATGAAATGCTGCTTCTGTTCCTACTTTGTCTGTCCTTCGAACGTGAACACTGAAAAAAGGCAGAAACTCAGATTTCAATTTATAAACACAATTAATAATTTAGCGACTGAAATTTTAACTTTAAATTTCATGCGTGCACTTTTAGAATGCATATTAAACTGAATCCCTACATAAAACAAGAAAGGATTAAGATTCATTGATGTCCACCAAGACACAACTGACAACATGAAGTTAGCTATCAGTCTGTTCTTCAAAGCAATATAATAATCTTGCAAGGAAGGCAAAGGGTAACTGAAAGAAAAGAATGAAGGAGATTTAATTATAGCATACAAGGTATTCCATTTGTGCAGAAATTTAAGGTAGCTGGTGTTACTACATAATGCCTGATAAATACAGCCCAAAAGCAAAATAGAAGTATTTGCACCATGGATATATTGGGACACAAACCACAATGCAGGGTTTGAATGAAGGTAGTTAAAAATGCATCTTCCCCATCTACTTGAAATGTAACAAGTCTTCAGTGGTGAAGTGGCTTATGACTGTATGGTCAGAAGCCGTCTAACACTTGGACAGACCTATTGTGTACTCCCACAGAAAGAAAGATTAAGCACTGAAAGCAAATTCTGGTAAAGAAAGCAGTGTTTGCAGACTCTAGCAGAGTAACAGCAACGTTTTTCATCATTTCTCCAATACATAGTTTCTGCTAAGAAACAACAA